CTCAGTCCTTTCTGCTGCCGCTGACACAGTGAGGTGGCCTTTATGCTTCTCCACAGAGCAGAGATAACAGATGGACTTCTGATCAGTGCGGCAGAACAGCTTCTTCACCTCATCGTGGACAGAGCAGATGTTCTCCTGGAGCTTCTTGGAGGGCTCCACCAGCTTGTGTTTCTTAAACGAAGCCACATCATAATGAGGCTGAAGGTGTTCCTCACAGTAAGAGGCCACACAGCTCAAACAGGACTTGATGGCTCTCAGTTTTCTCCCAGAGCAGAAATCACAGGCCACATCTTCAGGTCCAGCATAGCAGTGATCAGCAGGAGCAGCTTGGAGTCCAGTCTTCTTCAGCTGCTCCACTAAATCAGCTAACATGGTGTTTCTTACCAGGACAGGCCTCGGTATGAAGTGTTTCCTGCATTGAGGGCAGCTGTGAAGTCCCTTCTGATCCTCTCCATCAAAGTGGGCTTTGATACAGCTCATGCAGTAGCTGTGTCCACAGGGAATAGTCACCGGGTCCTTCAGGACATCCAGGCAGATGGAGCAGGAGATGCTTTCTGTGTCGAGCTGAACTCCTTTCTGAGCCATTTCTGCTGTCAGAAACTGTTAAACAGTGCAACTTTGCTCTGAACAGAACCGATCTGTTGGCCTCGTAAGACGAGAGACTGATAAGCTGAAGCAGGAAATGAGGCTTTCCCGTCACACGCTTCCTTATGAGAGCTCAGTGAGGGGGCGGGACAGAGGAGCACCAACCCAACAGGTTTCTCCAGAGGCAGGGTGTGTCCTGTTTATTCCTGTGACTCAAAGTGTACTCAGTGTCGTGTCAGTGCAGCTACATTAGCAACGGCCCTGTTTTGACACTGTTTCTGGGCTATTTTCAGCCCTGTTCTGGCCCTTTGTTGGCCCAGTTTAGGCTCTTTTCTGGGCGTTGATTGGTAATGCCGTGAATTATGCTAAGACTGCAAATGCTGCACATTCACTTTGTTTATCTTCAGGTTCTGGTTCTGCTGCATTTTCAAGGATAGAAATGATATTTCATCGCTTAGAGGTTTGTTGCTCTGTATTCAGGAGTAAGGAAACAAACTTTTGTTGTGTTTAACTGGATGCCTAAAGTCTCTGTAGAGCTTTCAGTGTTTGGCTGCTTTGGGCTCAGGATGCTGAGGGGCTACAAACCATCAAAGTCTTTACGTGGACAGAATCTGAAGAAAAAAACATGAAAACTGCAAGGATTTCCTTGTAATGGGAATAAAAGTTCTTACTTCTTCCTGGTGTCGGGTGGAAAATCTCGTCTCCTGCCATCATCCCTTTCAGGTTAAAGTCCAAAACCACAAAAACGCTTTTAACTGCTACTTTCTTTCAACAGGGTTAAAACAGAAGACCAAAAATAAAAGAAAATGAATAAAAACATACACATTGATGACACAAACATCTCACATCTTTAATAAATACACAAACACCGTGGATATAAATAGTCACTACAGCAGCTGGACATTTTCATCTAAGTTCTTTGATGTGGAGCCTCTATTGTAACTATAAATAATCATAAATAGATAAATACATCCACCTCTGAACCCTTAAGATGCAGAGCTGTCATATGAATTTGCTTTCACACCATAGAGAGTGTAGAAGAATGAATAGTAATGCCACACATGACAAATGGCCGATAAAATCACAAAAGAAATACATTAATTGTTCTGTCTGAAAACAAGGCCTAAGCAAGGCTTCATGTCTGTGTTTAAACCGGTGTGTGCAGCTTCAGGCCAGCAAATGGGTGGAATGAGAATACACATGTACAGTAACAGGAATATTTCACACAGATTTTCACTGACAACCTACCAAATGTGATCAGTTCCTTAAATAATGTGATTTTTACACTCTTTTCCTCCTTGAAAGGTGCATTTAAATGCTAGATGACAGCAGAGACATCTGTTTTTAGTGATTTCTTTCTTTCTGTTAGGCAAGTCAGTACAGATGTATTTCTATGGAAATAGATAAGTGTGTCACCCTTAGCTCTGATATGTTTGAATTTCTCTCCTTTATTAGGGGCCCCCTGTCTGCGGCAGGCCCACCTATTACTATTGTGCATATTTATTCCGCGACTTATAGTTCTGCCATTTATGCCCGAATTTCAGCACGGGACTAGTCCCCCACGGTTTGACGGATTAGGCACAAAAAGACACACACATTTGAACCGACCACGGGACACATGCTTGTATTTCTCTTTCTCATTAGCCTGGGCATTTTCGAATAAACGGCGAAAAAAGGCAACACGCCATTTCATAGGAAATTAATGGGAAGGCCAAAAAATGGGCCCAAAACACGGCCAGTTTCCAGGCCTACATCCAAGAAAGCTCACTCGTACATTGACCTGGGGATCGGTATATAAATTAGAAAATTTCTAAAGACATTTTGAGGGGGGCCACCCACTGCCCGTCCAGGAACCTTGGGCTGGCTTCCTGGGGCCCTCAAAAGGGGCCCGGCAGGTCAGCCAATTGATATTTGGGCTGATGTTAGCTATGGCTCGTGCCTATGAGAGGGCCTGAGGGAGAGATGCAGAGCTGGAGGGACCTGGCTGAGCTCTGTGGCCCGCTGACCAAATGTAATTGGTTTGAGCATGTCGGGTCACATTGGCTGAAAGCTGAGAAAAAGACCTACGTGACGAGGTATGACATGGGTGGGTCTGGCCCCAGTCCAGTCCTGACCCGGTTGGGTCCGATGCCCAGAACCAGAACCGGGCTCTGACTGAAGCCCTCTAAGCGGGCTTCGCCCGCCTGGTAACAGAACCAATGTATCCATCAACTCCACAGCTAAGCAGAGCTCTGCTGATCGCCATGGCAACATCTGTCTGGTGCCAACTCTGAACATTCCAAACTGAACAGGTGTGACTCATCACTAAGCCACAGCCATGACACAGCCAACTGCCAGTTTCGATCAAAAGTTGACCCCGAACTCCTGCCCGCTGTTCGAAAACTATATGACACAGCTTCATAATTCTTTGACCGTGAGTGCCACGAGGGTCGCAGGTCTCAGCCATTGTATTTCATTTTCGGCTGCTCCCGCGGGTTAGTTTTGATGGCAGTTTCAAAATTAAATCCATTTTGGCAGTTAACAAAACTTTCTCTGTTTTCTTCCATTATATTCCAACGGGATCACGGTGGGAGCACGTTGCCAGGCCCCTTTTGAGGAACCCAGCTCATGCACAAAGTTGGCTTTAATGTAACACACGAATGGAGCGTTTCTGTGCTCTGTCATTAACTGGCTTGCACGTGGTGACACAGAATTGGTCTGCAGGCTCAGTATTGTTGACTTAGGGCTAGTTGGAGAACTCCAAAACCCAGAATGCTTTGCTAACACATGCAGGATGTGGAAGCTCTCTGGAGTTCACCAATCACAGTGACTTTCAAGGCGTGCGCAGAGTGCACAATGGCTCCCCCACACCTGACTGGACTGGAGAACGAGTCACGAGGC